GCAAGCATAAGTGCTTTTTTCTCTTCTCGTTTTTCGGGAAAAAATAAATCTTTGCAATCTAGCCTCCTGTATCCCGTTAGTCGGGTTGATTTGCGAGCCGTCAATTTAGCATTCCCAATCCAACTAAATCGTAATATTGTATGTATTTCTCTAGTTACGACCTTCGTAGCTCTGCTGCACTCTACTTGCCTCGAGGAGAATTTGTTTCATTTGGATCACTTGTTACAACTTATTCATATAATTAAGCGCGTTACGCACCGCAACAAATTACGGCTGATCTGAGCAGGCCATGACACACTAATAAAAGAAATTTATAGACGTGGTAAAATATTGTAGCATGCTAGATTGTTATTTACGCGAATTAGATGATGCAATATATAGCAGGTTCTCACAGAATCACCTTGTTAATCGACGATCACGATCGTATTCACAGGTCTCTTGTCGCTAACAGCATTGAAATATCCTGCGAAGATTTATGTGTGAGTTTCCAAGCATCGATACCGGCCCGTAGCACTTGTGCACCTGCCGATGTCATTTATTTTATAAGGCCAAAGGAGGCGAGAGAAAGGATATGTGATCTGAAAAAAGGGAACACACACGAAACTGTGGCAAGTGTAGCAATACACCTTACGTGCCGACAGAAGTATGTATATACATAGGTTGATCGTGAAGACTGTCTTCTATTATGACGCTCCCTACTTTATTTTGGTCTTCACACTATTTACGTCTAGCTAAAGGTAGCCCTGAAATACGATTTCCAGAGACATATAGCAGTTGAATGCGAATCTCAGCATTCAACTTTACATGTAAACTATGCATTTACATCAAATTATGACATTTTTGACAAAAGCAGCAAATGGTGCGTCTTGACTTGCTTGTGTGTGCGTGCATATCATTACTTTTATCAAGAATATGCAAATTAATTCAATCGAAACAAAAATATTGTGATTGCGACGTATATTTGCATTCCTTTACCATAAAACGGGCGAGAAGTGTTGGTCACAGTGTGTGTACAAATAATAGGTAACTACTTCAAATTTCATCAAAAGCGAAACGCCCAGAATAATTTGTCAGCTACGAGGCGCATCGAGCAGCTCGTATTTGCCTATATGTGTATGGTAAGGATTACTGGGATCCACATTCTGTGCTGTAAGTGATGACACGGGACGCAATCTATCAGCTGTGTGCTGTCAGAATAAACTTGTGCTTTGATTTTTCAGAAAAGAAATTACAAGCCGTCCTTGCGTAATAAGTTACACGAACAAGATGTCTATGTGTAGTCACTAGACGAAATCGGACTATACGATAACAGCACGTTCAGACTTCGATATAGCTTTGTATTTCCTATAGCAAGCAGCTGTCTTTATTGACCAAAATGTTTGCAAAAAAAGAAGTTAGTCAATCCGAGATAAGCATTGCCTATCCGGCGGTACCAGCACTCCTTGGCCGCCAGCATACAGGCAAGCATTATGTAAAAGATCACGATTCGCTTATACTGACACAGTATAAACACATTCGTGCAAATTGATTGCGTAAGCTTGTTCATCAAAAATTTCTTTACACTCCTATGATGAAGAATCCGAAGATAAAGAAACGCAATGTTGCATGATGTAGAAAAATTGATTGTCTAACACTAGAGTCTCATATTCTCGTCTTCCATCGCAAACCTCCTTTCATTTACTTTGACTGCATATACGTGCCATGACAAACTATTTGCCACTCAGTACGCGCTTCTTTTTGTCGCATTTTAGCTTCCAGAGAGCACATGTGGGGACCAACTATTCCGGACTGATTGAGGGCCATTCATTTGTATAAGTTCATAGTTCCAATGCTATAATAAACGTGATACATGGTGTTTATGAAACGGTAGAGATGCTATACATAGTAGTCTAAAACATAGGATAGACGATACGACGTTATGTGAGTTACACAAAACAAAGCTAATGATTGGGCATAGTAGACACTTAGCGTTAAGCTTTCCTCCATGCTTACAGCATATAGCAGCCAATGTGAAGGTTGTTGTCAGCCTCTATTAAAGATTACATGCAACGGTGAGGTTGCCTGGAAAGTACCGCTTGAGGCAATCTTGCCAATTATAAACTGCACAACGAATATGGACACAAGAGTCCATTTAATGTCAATGTCATGGACCCAGCTCAGCCAGGTGACCCTATAAGTATTGCGAAGGAAAAGCGTGAACGTAAAAGATCCACACTATCGGTCGTATGGGTAAAATCGAGGTTCCAGGGTGGAGGATGACTCAATACTCATCATTGTAGGGTCTTAACGATGATCGCTTTGTTTAGACTGTGAGGTGCAATTGAACTTAAGCGTGGTAGTCTTCACATCAGTATTCATATAATTGAGCGATCTGTACAAAGCTATGGTCGCAGCAGCCTCGACTAGCCGCATCGGAGCATTGTTCTTACCATTTGTATGAGTTCTCCGGTGATGCGAGTGCCGAATCAAGTACTTATCATCAACTGGTCGAATGTATGTTCTATATAGCTGGTTCATCACGTCATGACAACAGTGTGTCACTTTGTACATTAGTACAGTGCCTCGATCGCCATCACAAGCACATACGGCAGCTGTTGCGTGGCAAGCGGTGTTATATCGGAGTATTAACAAACGCGCTGTGTGCTACACCAAGTTGCACACCTGCCGCGTCTACCAGATCGGGAAAGTGAACTAAAACGCTACGATAAACGGCAAAGGTGCAATTCTTTGCTTCAATATTTATGTGATCTGCAAGTCTAGGTAAAAAAGAATGTAAGTTATCTTTTGCTGCGGTCGATTGTATAGATCCGTCTCTTGCACTACAAGACAAACTGTTGCTTCGAAAAAATTGGTTGGCCTTGGTGTGACAGACCTATCTACTAACACCATAGACGGCTTGGGGCAAACTGCGATATCTTGACCGAGCATGCTAACCCTAGTCAAAGGATAAGTCGATTGGTCTACGCTACTATATCACGCGAGGAGCAATTCAACGCAACACGCTTATGAAATCAACCAGTGCATACTGCGTACAAAAACAAGCGGACTTAATGACAAAGCTACTACCTACGCTACATTTTGCCGATCTTGTCGATTTATATGCACTACTGATGCCTTATAAATTGGCAATTAATAGAGACTGTAATAATTATGTAAATAATAAATTCCGATGAAGTAATTTATGTACGTGCATGATCCGTTCATGACCACGGATTGATTCCCGTGAGGTTTGATCTAGACAAGGACATCTTATGTTGCATTACTACAAGTAAAGTCTGCTCTTGGTTCTAGCATCGCGTGAATAGTGTAGGATCAATTCTTTCTCTCCTCAAGTTACAAAGAGACACACGATGACTGTTTCTATCATGTTTGTTTTTTTGCACATAGCTTACCCTTCCTAGCTAATCTCGGATTGCTCTACAAAGACGCTGCTTGCGCGCAGTGTCGCGTAAACTATGTGTTTTCGTAAACGACACGTATCCAGTATTCTTCATGTTGTTATCGATAATTCACTGTCACAAGGAATAGATGCTGGCGCTCCGGCGATCATTTTGCGAAGATCAAACGGCATAAGCGTGTCTACGACTGATACCGGACATTTGGCACAAGTGGCTTAATTGTTTGAAGATGATGTGCGAGCGCGACAAAACAAAGGGCATTAAAGGCGGACAACTATCCATGATTGTACATCGAGTGACAGGTTTGCCACGACCATCTCAATCTCGGGTTTGTAGCGTGTTGTCGACTTCAGGAAGCACACTGAAACGTTACCAACTCTAAACTTCTTACGTGTACCACTGCACTTATTGCATCAACCACGTCAAAAGCGAAGGCCAACAGGGTATCTGGAAACTCTTGTTCTGACAGCTCATGTTACAACTCAGCGCTACGGTGATGAATGCTGCCACCTCACTACTTTTTGCACGTAAATTTCGCAACCCTCATATTATGTACTTTTCTTCGTATAACGGTGTTGCAATCGCATCCTTCCACCTTCACTGCGTCGAACAAATGAAATAGGTGCTGACAACAGATTTCAGTTGCACCTATTCTGCTTTCGGAGTCAAAGTGCTAAGTGATGTGACCCTTACGTGTGAACTCGTATCACCCTCTTATTGACGAGATATTATCGAGCATCTTTGCAATTGTATGACGCGTAATATCGTCTCGACGATGGCGAACAAGTTGATTGGACAGTGTTACGAGGAGATCGAGACCACAAATTTACCCATGACGTTAGTAACATTGTGCAGCGAAACGAAACGATTACATGTAGGTAATTCTTACCATACGTTGATCTCGTCATTATAGAAACCTATGTATGAATCTACCATATACACTGACAACATTTTGTACGTACAACACTCACCTCGTATACTGTAAACACACCAATTTAGTCCCATCACTATCGCTTCTTGCTTTCGGACAATCCCGACAAAGACGCCACAACCAGCTTTTTCGTCCAACTATCATAATGTAGCCAAGTTGTCGTTAGTACAAAGTTACCAACATGACATCATTAACCATGCAAATAAAGACACAGAAAAGAAATCGGGTGTGACAACGTACAAGCCCTGAAGTAGACAAGGTATAGGAGAAGGTTTACCTGCACCGGTGGCGGCCCCGCATACTTGTAGCATGTCTATTCCGGTTACGATATAAGCTGAAGAATGTGCTGAGGATAAGTGGTCTACCACATAAAACAGATGGGAACCAGCAAGAAGTCGTTATGTGCCACGTCCAGCAGTCGTGTTGATGTGCCGTAAGTCCGTACTTGAGTCGTCTCGAGTAATGCATCTCGACGCGAATTCGCTCCACCGTTGGTGTTCATGTTGCCGGCGCCAGTCGGATAGTACATGAGATAGTGCTCAGTAGAACAAAAAGTCGATCAGCGATGACAACCGTCCTCGCATCTCAACATGAGGACCACTACCGTATGACCTGCACTTCAACAACCTCCACGAAGCAGTCATCGACAGACAAGACAACAATCAAACTTTCTACCCAGCGCTTCTATCGTCCGTTTCTACCTCCTTGTCGTGCTTGCAGCCAGGTTTCGCCACAATGTAGTAAGTCGTTCCAAAGTGGAAACGGTGCATCGACTCGACTTCAAGACCCGCTTGGTCAACGAGCTTCAGAATGTCTCGATTCCAGTGACAGCCCCACTTTTGAGCGTGCAAGTCGGCAAACTTGTCCAAAATGCCAGCCAACCACTTGTAGCTGCTTTGGCCGTGTTCCAAGAGCAGAATCCGACCGCCGTCTTTTTTGCACACGCGCTGCATCTCGCGTAGCGTCTGCAAGGAGTCGTCCATACTGCACAGTCCAAACGTATCAACGACCGTATCGAACTGCTCATCTGGAAAGCTCAAGTTTTCGGCCGCCATCACGTGGAGTTGACAGCTGTTGAGTCGCTGCTGTTCTATTTTAGGCACGTGGTCCAGCATCCCTCGACTCGCGTCGGTGAGAATTACCGCTGAAGTAGCAGGATAAAACCCCAAATTACGGCCCGTGCCTGCTGCTACTTCTAAAATCTGCCCCCCCGCGTTTCGCAAGAGGAACCGGCGCATGAGCGAAATGCCCATCAGGCGCTCGTCCCACTCGACTTCTTTGTCGTATTGTGCCGCGTTCGCGTTGAACGTGTGCACGCGCGTGGCGTCGTCCACTGGTTGTTGCGCAGCACTTGCGCGGCTTTTGCTCGTTCGCGGGTCGTAGAACGTCACGTACGAGACAAACGTCACGCCCGCGTAGAGCGCGACGCCACTGAACACGACGCCTGGTCGACGCCACATGTGTGTGTGTGTGGACTACTTTGTTGGTTATTAGTTTATACGAGTCAAGAGGTGGGTGTGACGGATGGCTCGTTTTGCATGGATGTCGATTCTGGTCATAGCGGTATGATGCGATTGGGCAGTGGAGGATGACATACATACCTCTGATGCATGCACGAGGTATGTTGGTGGGTGGGTGGGTGGGTCATTGCGATTAATGGAAGGGCAGCTTGTGTTGGTCTACTTAGCTTTGCATATCAAGATGCATCAGTCTTCGTGCAGTCGTTGGACCCGAGTGTCGAAGGGATCATGTGCTGTTTGGAGGCACAACCTGGAGCGAAGTACATGCCCAAAAGGCATAGAAGGTGTATATCGGCCCGAGGAAAGCATATCAGATGCGCGCTATGCCTCTCTTTTGCCGACTGATGTGACGCACGCACCAAAGCACAACTTATGACCAGGAAGCCAACTCGCGCATCAATTGTACATCAGCACATGTTCTGCTGCTGAGTAAGAGTCGAGAAATTGATTGATTGTGAACACAACGGCAGCATCACGCAAAACTTAAACGCTCCACGTTAAGATCAAAGCAAGTCACGCATACCGTTCGTAGAGCTCAGAGATGTGTAGCCATGTGCAGCAGTCCATCTTAGACGATACAACAACAAACGACAACGGCTGAAGCATTCAGTCGTCCATGTTATGCACTGTGCATACGGACCCTTGTGGCCTTATAGCCACCATACTATAAGTCCGCTGATCTTCTTGATGTCCTGACTGTCTTGCTACTCTTGCAGTGTCGCTCTCGCTCTCGCTTTTACCCAAGCGCTGCTCCTGGCACGTGCATTAATTATTGTTCTCCCTCTAGCGCACCAAATCTGTAAAAACATGCTGTCATGAGCTTGCTCACCGTGACAGAAACATACCACAGCGTCACTAACAACGATGACACCGGACGCTAATGACGCATACAGTGTGCTTCGTTTCCGCAGTGTCGATCCTTCTCAAGCTCGCGCTGTAAAGCTTCTGGGAGAGAAAAAGTCTCGTCGTGGTGGTTAATAAGCAGATAGACGCCGACGCACGGTTGGCGATACATCAAACGCCTCGTGCATCGTAGTCTGTCCTCTGCTCGACGATACGACGTAGAAGCATTTCGTGCTCAATCGGACTTGTCCATCGCTCGACGAGCAAGCCGTTCGGTCTCTAGCATCATCATTGCATCCCATGAGTCCTTCGATACGTTCCCTTCGCCTCGACTGAGCGCCATCAGACGAGCGAGTCGCAACCATCGATGCAGGTCTTCCAGCTGCAGCACAGCACAGCACACCACACACATTCGTCAGCATTTACTACTCCATACCATATCAAGGCCAACATCATTCGCAAGACCGTACCACCACTTTTTGTTGCGATTTGCGGCACTCGACATAGTGCTTCTCAGCCATCTCGGCTTCTTCATTTCGAATCGTGACAGCAAATGAGCGCAAGACGCTCAAGAACAAGCGAAAACACTCCAATAGCTGTTCTGCCGGCAGTGCAGATGGCCGATCATCGGCGGTATTTGTACTGTTTGTGCAACTAACAGGCACTGCTACAGTCACCGGTAAGATAGTGCTGCCTTCCGACACCGTGACAACTGTCACGTCCTGCGGGAAATCCATGCTGTAGTAATGAAAGTCGTACGGCAAGAGCATCTTCTCAATCAGCGACTGCAGAGCCGCCACGTTCTTCACGCCTCGGTCGTTCAGCTGCCCTGGAGTCAACGTAGTCTCATCCACAAGCATCGTCGTTCCATGTGCCAGCTGCAGCACTCCGCTCACCAGCATTTCTCGGTCGTAATCCTTGTGCGGCTGAAACAAGCTCGAGTTTAGTGCCTCGAGCGAGAGATCAACTCGCGCTACCATCGGCATCAACAACGCCAGCGTCTCCTGAAGACGTGCAACAAGTCCTCGCTTCTGTTCGTCCGTCATCGCCTTGTCCAGCGACAAATTGAGTGACAAATTACCCAGTGGCGTCGACGGATCGGCTCGTGCATACACGTGCGACAGCAGACTCAGCAGCAAATACTCTGCTGCGAGCGTGTCACCCCCAACGGTCTGCGCTAGAAAGTCCACCAGCTGTGTCCGCATCGCCACGACATCCATCTGCTGACCGCGTCTCGCCCACTCGTGACCGCAAAACTCGACCCGCGAGTCGTTGCTCTGCTGAATGTGCGCGTAAAAGTCCTTCGACTCACGCGGGCGCACGTAGTGCACACTCGTTAAGCTGCTGACGTGGCAGCAGTGCAGCACGACACTGCACTGGTCGTTGCGCTGCACCTTTGCAAGGCAGTCCGAGATCGCGAGCTCCTTCAGCTGCTCGACGCTCGCCGCGTCAATGGCCGCGTCACTGTTCAGGTCGGTGCCCGGCACTGTCAGGTCCAAGACACCGACAAACTCGAACGCCTCATTGACCTTGAAGGCTTCCAGTGGCACGTCTTTGTACTGGCCGTCGTAGACGTAGACATGGACGGCCTGCGACTGCAGCAAGCGCTCCTCTTGTAGCTCGTCTGCCTGCTCGCGCTTGTGGACGACTGCCTTACTCTTCTTTGCGCTCAGGTCGTCCGTCTGCGGTTCACATCCACTGCCCATCTGCTCGTCCACTGCCGCACTCGAGCGCTTGGTGCCTGTTGGTGTTGCAGGACCATCACTCTCACTGCAACGACCATCACTCGGACTCGAGTGACCATCACTCGGAGTGGAACGATCCCAATACGCTCGTTGGGCCCAGTCAGTCGCGTGAGGGAAAAGAGTGACAATGAGAGGCACTCGCTCGATTAAGCCCGACGCATTGGTTGGTGGTGGACGTGTCTCGCCGCCAAGTTGGACGAGCTCGGGGTCCTGCACATCACGCACGAGACCGCGGAACTTGAGTACGCTTCCGTCGCGGTATGCGCCCACGCGGAACGACTTCTCGTCCAGCACGGGCACGTCCGAGACGTCCCGCGAAGCCGACAAGAGCGACGACAAGTCAAACATTGAAATTTCACAGGTTGACAGGATTGCTACGGTGAAAGTTGTAGTTGGACGGTCGGAAGGAGACGATTGCAGGATAGTTGCGACTGTTTCGCGCAAGCAGATTGCGGATAGGCATAAAGTAGCGGCTATTTGTGGACGAAAATGCAAGCTTGGCTCGTAAACTGTGTGATAAACAGCATGATAGACGGAAGAGTACATGTTGTATCTCGATAAACGTGCAAAACATCGATATGTGACACATGAGCTCCGTCCCTATGACTAAAAAACAGTATCGAAAACAAGGACGCCGTAGCAAGGGGAAGCGTTTCCTCGAGATCGAGCTTAGTTACAGCTCATTGAGCTCTTCCACTGTGCTCGTACTGCAGCAAACCATAATGGTCAGACAGGAACGACCTCTCTGCTTGGGAAGTTGTCGATTCACAGCGTTCAGGATATAAGCGCTGCGTTTTGCTCACGCAGTCCTACTTTGCGATCGAAACATGTGTGTGCTGCATGTAGAAGTACGCACGTGCAAACGACATCGGGTTGTCCTACATCAGCAACAACAAAAGGATTGACGACATGAACATGATCGATGTGAAGAACAACGGTTAGTTGCTCTGTCTGTCGCCAAACGAGGAACATGACCATGACCTTCTTGCATACGTTCACGGGTCAAGAAAGCGCTATGGACATGTTACAGATACACTGACACCACCCACACAAAAAGCAGGAACTGAAAAGCTCAGCTCTACCTTACTCCCACTTACTAGTCATACCTGTCTTCGGCTTTGCAGTAATCATCGACACAAACGTACAATAGTAAACGAGCAAGCAAACACGTGTTCGCTTGCAAGACAATGGACTGGACAATGCGGACGCATCTTAATTTACAGGTCGCGTTGGTCGCTGTCGCAAATTGTAGTCGAACGGATCCTTCAGGATGTAGCTGTTCGGAGGGTACCGAGCGGTACCGTCGACGGACCCACGTGTCTGTTCGTACAGTAGAGCTCCAGCTGGAATTCTGCATGTGCGACAGCTCGCGGTGGTGCCAATCGAACGAGAAAAGAGCGACAAGGTCTGCCTATAGCACCCAACTGGAAGTCTCGAGACGACGAGCTCAGCGTACGCCTATCCTTCTCTCACTTCACGCGCACACCTATGCAGTCGGCTGACGACATTGGTCTCACTTGCCTTTCACGCACGTCAATCACATATCGCCTCGTTCTTTCGTTGACCTCGTGACGAGATGACTCGGGTTGGCAACGTACCATTCACATGGCTCCTATGGTGCACCTACACCTCCATTGCTCAGTGTGTCAACTGGCCCTCGTCCACCGAAAAAGTCAGAGCACTCCCAAGCACCGGGTCATCCTTCAATGCCGATCCAGCGTCACCTTCAGTACCAGTTGCCCCGTTCGTTGCACCCGAGCCCTTCTCGTTTGACAGCGCACTGTTCGTCGAGAAATACTATGCGACGCCAGCGACGGCCATGAGCACGGTCCGATCTACGTATCGCAATTGGGTCGGTCCCTGGACCCTCTCGTCCGATACGTCGTGCTACCGAGAAGCTCATATCATGGACACTTGTCCGCACAACTACAACCGCCATGACCTCACGAACACGTGCTGGACCGAATGCCCGATTGAGTTTCCCCTGGCATGTGGCATGGAATGCGTGCTGCAGAACAGTAGATGCAGCCTCGAAGTAGCTAGTAAAGTATCGGCCGTGGCCATGGCCGCGATTGGCACGGCGACGTTCGGAGCCTTTGGTCCGTTGCTGAAGATGGGCAAGAAAGCGACGTGGGCCATCACGTGCACGAACCAATTGCTGCTCGTGATGAGAGGTATTATCCGGTACGTGCGCAGCGTCAAGACACAAGATCCGCAGGTCTCCCGCGATAAGCTTTTGTTGATGCTGTACCAGACCAACAACGTCGTCACGGACCTGCCCATGGTCATCTACGCGTGCTTGGGCAAGAAGATTCCGCTAAAGTTGCAGCACTCGCAGATTGTGATGGCCACGTCGCAGTGGCTGCTGCTGCAGGCCATCACGTATGAAGACGCCATGATCTCGAGCTGGCACAGGTTCCGAGCGTTTATGAAAGGCGCCAACTTCACGGAAGCTGCCGAAGACATTACCGACGGAGAGATTGCGTCGCTAGAAACCGCTATGCAGCAGAACTCGAGTTGTGCGGGCGAGTTAAAGTCATTGACTGACCGCGTCTGGATGACGATCCACGAATACAGAGAAACCATAGTGGGCGTCACGAAAGACGCGATTCGAGTCAAGATCAGTGAGTCCGACCTCGTGCGGTACGACGTCGCCCTAGTGACGAACAACTGCATCGAGCACTTGATCGCGGAATCCAATGAAGTGACGGCCTATAGAACCCGCGAGAAGCTACGCAAGACGTTTGGCGTGATCATTAACGACCTCATTAAGTCTGGCAGTAGTGACAATGGCACGTCGTTGGATGAGAAAGCCCTCGTGTACAAGTGGATTGACACTGGACTCTCGGCGATCTCTGCTTCCATGACGGACCCCACCGACATATCGACGTTGCTGTCCGAGTACATTCAGCGAGTCTGTGGACCTACGCAGTTCATGGGCGAGATTGACGATGGCACAGAAGATGCGACACTAGGGCTAAACACCTTACAAGGAGCTTTCCGAGGAAGCACCAGCTCATGGACCCGGGTAGGCGACGGTGCGGTGATCATCCGGTTTACAAGTACCGATACGAAGGACGTGCTTGTGAACGTTCTGTCTGGAAGCGACCGAATCGACCGAGTGGGTGTTAGAGCTGGTGGTACTGCCCACTGGCAGTCGACTGTTTCAATATTAGGTGGCAAGACGTTGTACCTGACTCGACGGCGACGTGGTTTGCTTGGTCTTCCACGTAAGGGAGGGGGGTCGCTAGTACTATGGGTACCTAGAGCATCTCAAGGAGGTCACTTGGAGCTTAATGTGAAGATTAATGGGAGCTAGCGAGGCAATAGAGTATGAACCAGTAGACAATGATGGACCCCACCCATCCCGCTGGTGGGCAACGCGACAGACAGTATAAATCCACTGTTAAAACGCAGCTGTTTGTCGAGTCGTACAAAGACAGGATACGTGTGTCCTACGCTGCTTTCTAGAAAGCACGTCACAAAGAAAAGGTTCTTGATTTAGCACCACACACCCTCCACGCTGATTGATACTGGGATGTCGACCACGTGCCGATCGATCGTCTTGGAACGTACCAAAGTTTCGACGCGATGTCCCGTATCACGGGTAAAAGCCGTCGCGGTAGGCGTTGACTCGGTCTATTCGAGACAACGTACGTCGAAATACCGTGTGGATCCCATACTTCGATCGTATCGACCTACGGCCCTATCGTCGTTGCAAGTGGCGACCAGACCAGCCGCGAAACTGGTCTGGCTGTCCATTGTGCCCCAAATCGCACTGAGACAAAGCGACAGTCGCGTGTCCGTACAACGCACCTGCAGAATGAGCTCCTCGGAGAGATATACGGCGGGTTGGCGTTCTCCACGCCACGCAGTCACTTCGGTGATCGCACTCCACGTCGGGGGCCGCGCAAGCGGCTGAAGGGGGCCACCATCGCAGATGGTTGAGCTCCTCGGAGAGATATACGGCGGGTTGGCGTTCTCCACGCCACGCAGTCACTTCGGTGATCGCACTCCACGTCGGGGGCCGCGCAAGCGGCTGAAGGGGGCCACCATCGCAGATGGTTGAGCTCCTCGGAGAGATATATGGCGGGTTGGCGTTCTCCACGCCACGCAGTCACTTCGGTGTTCGCACTCCACGTCGGGGGCCGCGCAAGCGGTCCTAAAGGGGTTTGTTGCCTTATATGGCAGCATACCCGCGTTGTACGTGCTGCCGCTCCGGCGGTACGCATGTCCCCAGTCTACTTGGTCGCGCCAGCGGTCATGATTGACTCGTAGTTGGCTTCGGTAGGAGGGTCTCTGACCTCGTTGCCGTCGCCCCTGGCTCTACGGAGCCCTTTAGTTGTCGACCCGATACCCGGGCCGTACTTCTTGTCACACTTATCAGTCGTTAGTTATCATAATAATGGACGTACTTGACACCACCACAACGCACCTGCAGTAGACCTGTTCCCTTTCTGTGCGCTCAGACGTCGACGGTACAAAAAGTGCGTGGGACACCATAGAAGATACACGTTTGTTGTGTCAGAGTGCCATCGGACCATCGCAAGACGGGGGAGCGTCGCTGCCACCAATTTCTGACCAAAAGAAGGACAAAAGCCAAGCGCTCAAATAATTTGCCATGTGCGAGACTGGCGGATCTTTCGCAGAGTACGCTCTGCGATTTTTACCCTACAAATATCCTAGCGATTCTATTCACAAAAATGTGCCTCATAGTCCATCGTGGCACGATACTACTAACAGTGACCGGTACGCTTACAATACGACTCCGCCAGTCACAACTACCCAACTAACGGCGAAACCAGTAGAGTCGAGCGACAGCGCAATGTCCCAGAACGAGCTAGTCTCGGCTGGAACATTCTTCTTCTCTCATAAGTTATTGAGTCCGAGCAGGTTCAGGTCGCGTTGATCTTCACGGTCATTTCGAGGTGACCGCCTTCCGACGACCTGGACACCCACAGCAAAAGAGATCCGCCACTCGAACCAGGTATACCCAAAACCCCTGGACGCCAGCGATCCAAGTACATCGTCTTGTCGGCCAGCTCTTGCACGGTGGACGTCCATATCACGGTTCTGCCGGACTTCACGTGAACCGAGTCGACCTTCTTGCCACCCGAGTGAATCACCACTTTGACGGTTTTCGTGTCAGTACTTATAAAAGTGATTCGCACAAGGCCATCGCCCTTCTTGGTCCATGTACCTTCACTGCCACGAAATGCATTGTCCATGGTCGTAAGCCCAAGCGCATCGGTCAGCGACCCGTCATCGATCTCGCCGACAAACTCGGTCGGACCGCACATTGGTTGCACGTAATTAAACGTCATGTACGCAATGCCCGTGGGGTCAATCGCCGAGAGACCTTGAAGTCCTAAGTTGCTTGTTTTCACCAGGTAATCTTTCCTTGCCATGGCCTTGCCCATGTCCGTAGTGGACGTTTTGATCAGCTGCTCAACGATCACGCCAAAAATCTTCCTCAACGTATCCCGCGTTTGGTACGCAACGTACGGCTTCTTCGTCTTGAGCAACTCGCCCATGCACTCGTTCGTGATCGCCGGGACATCATCCAGCATGATCGAAGTACTGCCGACTTCGCGTCGAATGTCGGCTTTACTAGCGGATGGATTGCTGTCACGGATGTCTGCAATCTTCACGATCACTCGGTCCGTCAGACGCTTGAGATTGGACCCGCACGACGAGCCAGAGTTGATCAGACTCGTGAGGTTCGCGACACTTTCCGCGTCTAGATCCCTCGCCGACTTGCCTGCTGTCGTGTTGCGAAAGAACGCTAGGAAGGCGTCTGCAGAGCTCATGATCGCGTTACGGTTGAGTACCAATTGCTTCACCAACGTCTCGGCTGCAGTAACGACTGCATCCGCAAAGAAGGCAAACCTGTGGACTTTGTCATCCATGCACGTAGTGATTGCAACGGGTAGATCAACTAGGAACAAGTCCGTCTGATACGCTGCAGCAAGGAGCTCTTCTTTTGTGCTATTTGGCGTCAAAAGCTGTCGCGTGCGCAGGAATCGAGAGATGCCTTCGGCAATGTTAAACACATTGAACGCGCACATTACGCCATGCTTGATGTGCTTGGCCGTCTTGTGCAGCGCATTGAACACGCCAGCCGTGGCAATGTTCAGCACCACGTAGCCTGGATTCGTGACCTTCGCCATGATATCCAGCACGCAGTCGTCGTTCTGGGGCACGCACTCGGCAATGCACTGGACGGGGTACGCCATGGGGCACTGCGACGAGCACCAGCCTGCGTTCTTGGCGAACCCTCGAGGGCACTCACCGTTCGAGTCATGTCGATGAATCTTGCGGTAACAGGCCGAGTCGGTAAAGTCGCCGATGCTGGGGCCGACCCAATTCGGAGGCGACGTCGTCAGGGGATCAAACTGGAGCTTGATCTCGGGGACCATTGTGTAGGCCAGAAACGACCGGTCTTCGGCTTCCAGGAGCGCCGTCATCTCGGCTTCGTCACTGCTTGGGGTATCAACTGCCTGCTCGTCTTCATTCAACACGGGATCACTTACTACTGTCCGGTGGTCTGCTACACTGACGAGAATGCAAAAAGCTGCAGCAGCGACGGCAGTAAGTACGCCGTCTCGCCGCCGTTTTCGCATCGATTGCGCCCGTGGGCTCGTGGGAAGTTTGCTTGGGAAAAAGTCAGAGTGAGCAGCTCCGATGCGCAGATAGATAGGGGTATAGATGGTCCTCAGGTCTGCCTTCACGTCAAGTGCTCCCAGTCAGTCAGTCAGTCAGTCAGTCAGGTAGTTGGTCAGTCAGGTAATAATTGGTCGGTCAGGTAATTGGTCAGTCAGGTAATTGGTCCGTTCATCGGTCAGTCACGTGGTCGAATAGGTACGTGCGATACAAAAATCAAGCGCAGTTTGCCGCCCGGGCTGACACTCGTCACGTGCGACCAGTGCAAAACTGACAAAAATCCCCCTGCTAGGTGCGCAGTGCAGAGCCGCGGCGGTCGGTGGACGGATGTCATAGAAGCGTGAGATTTAATGGGATCCGAGCAAGCGCGTGAAAACGCCGTGTTGGGCGCATTCACCCCCTCTTCGCGCATGGTCGAGAAAAGAGCCAGGGGAAGGAGTCCGAACTCCTTCAAGTATCCGGATACTGTGTGATATGATAGATAGAACTTGCTCGAGTGTTGCTGACCGTGTTACTGCAGGGAAACGAACGTGCTACGGCGGTCCTGTCACGGGCGGTAGCCCTTGCAGTATCAGTCGCTGTAGCACTTTGTGGTCATTCGATCCGTGGTCGCCAGACACGTTGATAGACACGCATTTACACGACAAGTGTCGGCTTCCAATCCGCAATAGCATTCGAGTTCCACGCTTGCCCGTCGACTACCACACAGTAATTCTCACTCTCAGTGCTTCTTCATCGGTCACCATTGCAAATGGCTGACGTATATAATATGTATATATATGCTCATGACGGGCACTCACTCGCCACTGAGCTCGTTTGTGCAATGCTTCTGTCGCTATTGTGATGGGCTGAGTTCTCTTTCCTGCCTCGCCGTGGCTTTGTCCTTGCTGACCGAGGCGTACTGCCTGTGTATGCACGAATTGGTCCAGAACAATAATGATCTGTCGTGTCTTCTTCACGCCACATGGCTCAAGGAAGCAGCGCGGAAGGGTCGTCGCACGTCGGCGCTACATGCGGCGTACAGCCCCAGCTGAGGGATCAAGGGGATCGGTTTCACCGCCCATCGGATAGCCCCAAATCAGGTCAATGAGGTTGTCGATAGGCTATTGAGAACGGCCACGCCTACAAGGGCGGCTTGATCGATAGTGATATGATGTGAGACGAAGGAAAGCGGGGAGAACAGCGGTGACGCGGTGGATAGCGAGCGATGTAGCGCTATGGTAGTCCAATAAGCAGCAACGAGCCCTTCCACATGGACATAGGTCGGGAAGGTTCAAGCAATTCAACAGTGCTGCCTCTCTAAGTTGCAGCTGCTCAGGGTTGCCGACACTATGGAGTGCATTTGCGAACCTTTGTCAGAGAGAGAGAGAGTCTCAATCGTTCGTGTGTTTGCTTGCCAACCTCCGACTGTAGAACAGGGCAAGCTACGAGTCGAGCGTGTACCTACTTATCAAGATACACAAGTACGATCGCTGTGTATGGCGTGTTTCAGGTACTCTATCGCTTCTTAGACAGAAGCAGGTGCTGGTGCGCGCATAGCAGTCATTCAGGTCGCCTTTTGCCCGGGCAAATGAAGCTTGTAAGTCGATCATTGCAAGCTGCTAGAAGTCCTGATGGTCCATCCCTGTGTGTTACAGCTCGATACTACTGTAACGCACGAATGGACCCCAGGGACTTCAAAGGAGAGCTGTCAGTTGTACGTGGCGTTACGCTCGACGGGCTCTATCTCGCTGTGCTGCAAGTGCGCATCTCGCTGTACCATCCCGAGTGCCATAACTGTTCATCTGATCGAGCAGTCACCATCACGCAGTTTCAGCACCGCGTGTGCAAATGCGCAATGACAATGTGACTCATCGCTCGCGGCGTGCAGTCTCACGCTGCAGCAGGACCCACGCGCGTCCATCTCATACAGAAAGGGACGCTCACACTCGTGCGATCATTGAATGAGGCAAATACTGTCTTGTGGTCGGTTGCAAATCCTCTCGACGAACGAACGCTGCGGTGCCCGAAACGGTGCCGAGGTCAGCTCAGGCCGTGACACACGAAAGCACAGCAGCAAAGTAGTCGCTGCTGATCTGCCGCGTCTAGAACGCCAGCAATGCCGAGCACATGCAACATGAGCCCGAAACGGATAGCACCCAACTTATCCAGCAAATGACGCTGTACAAGCCATACTGGTCAGTATTGCAGGTCACCTAAGCGGTGTAGAACAAACTCAGCACTTCTGGACGGTCACGTACGCTGTGTCAATGCTGACTAGTCGTCTCAGTCTCGATCAAAGCGAGGTAAATACTGCTTACTACGTGAACAGGTAAGTTGCGTGCGCACTTATCGACTTCGATAAACGATCTACGTCTGTTTACCTCGCACAAGCCTTCCAACCTCTTCCGCCTCGCGATGGGTAGTATGGAGAGTAACCTGAACGAAGCCCATCGATCTGAGGCCCCCACCCCTTGATCAACACCTCTCGTTGTCGCGACTGCTCGCTGCACAATCAGTTAAAAGCTGTTCAAGTGATGTGTGATGACGAGATGGACACATGACTTGCACTGAGCTGGACGAGCTTCAACAACAATAGTCATCCAGTATACCCGCAAGTGCGTAGTGGTCCTCGGATCTCGATTCACTCCTTCCGACTTCAACGCGCTGAAGCAGTCAGGCGCGAGGCGCACGCGCACATACTTTGCTGCCTCCCGAGAGGTCGGCTTGGATGAAAGTAGATTCTATGACAGGAGCCGCCTGGTCGAAGAGACCGCATGCACAGGACGAATGTGTGTTTCTTCTTCTTCTTCTCCTCGTTCGGTGCCTTGACAAGTCACAAGTACGTTGACGTGGCACCAGATCACACTCTTCTCCCACTGCTTTGGACCAATTGCTGTATCCATCCTCTTCATGTACGCACCTCACTTGATAACACGTCGCAACGCTTCAGCACATATTCGCGTCGGCTCCTCTCCAGACGATCGACGGTCGCCGACTCTACCTCGTGATCCGATTGACAAACCCACTTGGTTAGTGGTCATGGCATACAATGGGATACAGGCAAAGAATAATGCGTCGCGATTTTGAGCTCTTGTGAATGGCCTTCATGGACGATGCGGTATATCCGTGACAGCTGCTACCGCTACACACAACAACAAAAGAATGATCCGGCGACTGCTATTGTTTGTTCTGCATGGACACGATCGACTCGGTAAGCAATAACCTGAGTGTCGAGAACAAGTCTATTGACGCTACATAGCCTAACGTTTACATAAAATCAAGAGAGAAGTTACAGGAGAGACAGAACACTCGAGCGCTTCTCTAGCTCACATTGAGCTTCGCTTGGATCTCCAAGTGACCTCCTTGCGACGCTTTTGGTACCCAGATCACAAAGGAGCCACCGCCAGTGCCTAAAAGACCAAACCAGCCTGGACGCCAGCGGTCGAAATACAGCGTCTTGCCTCCTAATGTCTTCGTATCCGACTTCCACTGCCCTGTACCTCCCGCACGAACGTGGACTTCGGCTATTTTGTCACCACCCGACCGAATGTTCACCGTCACATCTTCTGTGTCTGTGCTTCTGAAGCTGATACGGACTGCGCCGTCACCTTTTTTCGTCCAGGCGCTCGTACTGCCTTTGAACGCATCGCCCACCGTGTTCAGCCCAAGCGTAGCAGCTTCCCGGCCGTCATCGATCTCGCCCATGAACTCCGTAGGACCACAAATAGTCTGCAGGAACTCGGAAATCAAGAGCGTAATGCGAGTAGGATCGATCAGTGTCGCCGCGAGCGACGAAAAGCCCACGTCAATGGCCCTGCGCGCCCGCTCGCGATCGTCATACGACGTCCCATTGTCGCTCGTTTTCGTTTCAATGAGGTCGTTCACAATGACGCCAATGGTTTTGCGTAAGGTATCGCGCGTTCTATAAGCCGTCACGAGCGTCGACTCGGTACGCATTTGGCGCATGCAATTGTTCGTCACCGTAGGCACGTCGTGCTGCACGAGGTCGGAGGTACTCACCTGAAGCCGCAGGTCGTCTTCCGAAATGCCGGGAAACTGGGTCCGAAACTTGTTGACCGTCGCCCACACGCGTCCCGTCAACGACAACAGGTCTTCGCCGCAGCTCGAGTCCTGCTGCATCGCTGTCTCCAAGGACGAGATCTCGCCTTCGGTGATCGCGTCGGCCGCTTCGGTAAAGTTGGCTCGATGGAGGAACGCCCGGAACTTTTGCCAACTGGCCACGAGCGTCTCGTCATGGATCAGCGCTTGCATGAGCGCCCACGTGGCGGTGCCCAAGACGTACTGAGAGAACCGCAGGTTCGGCGGTACTGCTTTGCGCATGCAGACAGTGATAGCAATCGGTAAATCCGTGACGACCGTTCCGGTCTGGAAGAGCGCAATGAGCACCTTGCGATCCGAAGCTTGCGGGTCTTCGGCTTTCATGGTGCGAATGTACCGCGTGACGCCCCGCATGACGAGCAGGAGCGAGTTCGAGCACCGCACGGCCCATGATAAGGTCTTGCCGATCTTATTGAGCTCACCAAACACGCCAAAGGTAGCACTGCTGAGCACAGTCATTGCTACAGCTGAGACTTTGCTCACGACTTCGATCCCACAGTCATCACTCTGTCGGATGCACTCCATGCCACACTCGACCGGGTACTCGAGCGGACACTCGGCCCAGCACGAGCTCGTCACGCCATTGCGGTCGTAATTCACGGGGCACTTGCGCATGAGGTAACTCCGCCGGTAACAAGCAGTATCGGGGGACATGGTCCACGGCCCGACCCAATTGCGGTACGTGGATTTGATTGAGTCGCTCGGCGCGGATGCAGAGGTCGCGTCTGCGTCTTTATCGCGCGTCAACAGCGTCCGAAGTTCGTCCAGTTCGAACGAACGAGACGAACTGCGAGACTCGGTCGCTACATGTGCCGCTTTGCTCATTATCATCGTCTCTAGCGCACTGATCTCAACATTGCGGCCTTTGATGGCCGTGAGACTCCAATCGGTCGTACCCGTTACGACAGTGAACGCAATACAGACCAAGAGCCGAACGAGAGCGACGTGGAAGCGAAACATCTATCGGACTCGAGACTTCTTGTAAGGATAGCAGCGTCTTGATGGAACAAGATGAGGCCGATCGATGAAGCAGAGCGCTGGATGAAAAGTAAAGAGGGCCTGTGCCGTCGAGGGCGTGAGTGCACTGAACAAGTGCTTGTGAAGAGAGCACCACGACGAAGCCAACATACAATTCGTTCTCGTAGACACTATCGACGCCACCAGGTATCGGCATCCACTTGAGGCCGTGCACCAGCTGAATCCCTCCCGGTGATCTTAGCACCAGCGAGCGACTTTACATTGCTAGTAGAGCCAAATGAATTCTTTTTCTTTTCTACCGGTCGCATGGACGTGTGTGCGTAAGCGTGTTGTAGTAGTTGTCCTCGCGAGATTGTGAGAGAGCGTCTGGGAAACAACAGTCAAAAGGAGGGGAATCCCATCTGCGGCAGTGTCGCTTAGGCGAAAGGTTTACGGCACATATCCGCCAAATGTTTTGGCGGATACGACGGCCAAGGAAGTGGCTGGGCCAGTTTCGGAACAAACGTCTCTGTACCAGTGGCGTAGGGACGTCTGGGAAGCACACATAGCACACGTCGACGTAACGATCGTTGAGGCCACGACGCTCGAGAAAAGAGGATGCGTGATCTAGGAGCGGCTATGTGAGCTTCAGACATTACTGCGACAGGTATCGCTCAGACAGCTGAGACTTGCATTGGGATGGGGATGGACGACCGCGCACAGACGACCGATAGATCGTGTGGATTGCATCATTGCGGCCGTAGCTGAGCTGTCAGATGGTTCGAGCAGCATCTGGATCCTCCTCGCCCCTCTTTTTCGTGCGGTGCACGAAACGATTGTGGTCTCACGCACTCGTTTGCTTGCGTCCTTCGTCCTTGTTCTACTTGCAGGGCACAGACACCGACAACGGACCAGCGGTTTTGCGGTAGCATCCGACTTGGAAACCGAAGACATGCGAATGATTGGTATAATTGGTAAAGACGCTAGTGCGTCGTGGAGAGGCTCAGCTGTCTCGAACATCATGTGGCGGGCGAGTGGGCGATGGCCAGCGACTGACTCCTCGCGGCAACAGCTCCAGGAGGATCTGGGAAAGGAGGTACACGCACACTGGCTGTCAGACTACGCGAGAGCCTTTTTCCGGTTGTCACAACCTCAAGCAGTTTCGTAGAGCGAACGAAACACGTGGCGACAGGCTGTGCTGGTGGCCCCTGCGAAGGCGATCGATTGTGTGCGTGCAGCAGAAGACAACGCAAGGCATCGACGGACGAACGGTAGAGAACTGGAGCAGACGCTTTGTGCCAACGCGGGCACCGTCTGGCCGTGTGTCATGCCATTTCTCTAGGACAAATGCACAGAGGATGGGGCACATACCGTGAAGAAATCCCGTTCGGAGCGGGTGATTCTTCGGCACGAAAGTCTCTACCGAGCAATGTGCTCTCTCATACACTCTCACACGTCGATCAAGAAATATTGTCACTGTCTCCTTCTTGCTGTCGATATAACGTGGTGGGTACGTACTACATCGCTCACTCAATCACTACCCATGTACAGAGCGGCCATGCCACGAAGGACAGACGAGCGAAGAATATTCTTCACGGGTCTGTCTGACTGTCTGTACGTACTCGCGATACTTTTGCAGTCCAAATCCTTTATTGATATCACTACGATCCTACTTACGAACAAACAAATGCCATGCTGACACACATACACATACCTGCAACTTTCCGCGAGTCATGCAGACGTGCGTAGTCACACATACCGCGCGTGCATTCGATTTGGAGCCTGCAAAAAGAGTGCGGCACGTGGTGCGTGCAGATGGAGTGCGGATAGACCCACCAGAAGGACACGAGACACCATCTTCCTGGTCTCATCATGCAGAGGTTCTGCTAGAGCAAATGAACCTCACGCGTCTGCTAAAGCGGCGGCGATTTGGTACTTCATCCGCTACAGAAGTCCAAAGGACACTCAACGCTTTGTGAAGATGACCTGACAAGGAACGAGCGGTGGTGTTTGCCGTTGATGTTCAGGCCAGCGACTGTGACACTCACAGTGAAAGCGCTCTTTCTCTACTTGTGTCAAAGGTACGTGTTTCCTGGATAGCCGATCGGGAGTCTGCACGTCGTTGCGACTACGACCACAAATGCACAACCGAATCGCACGTGTGATCGCTGCCCTTGTGCACAATGCCACGACGACAGAGATCCGGCCACGATCGCAGTTTCTTGCACTCTTCGGGTCTCCTATCCAAAGCTTCACGTAGCGCACGTGGACCAAACGTCGTATTGCAGGCCGTGCGCAACCGACCGCTCGTATGGACTGTCGTGCGGAACACACATAAACGCGAACGTGCTTTCCCACTCGTGGGAAACGCGTGCGTGCAAACGGATCGTTTGGGAAGCAGTAATCGCTTGCGTCCTTCCGTTCCGGATCTGTGTATCTATCTACCGCGGGATCGCGCGGGACTTGAGATGTAAGAAGAGCCGCAACCGCTGCGTCCTACGACGACGCCTGACAGAAGCGACTGATGACTGTAGAGGTGGGCGAACACGACATGCCGAGCGTGTCGAGTCTGCCAGAGTAGCGGCAGTGGATGCGTATGAAGGTTCGTACAGATGGGACCGCGAGGAACGACGAGAACGTGTCTCTCGATGTCCACATTGTCTCTTTTCTTCTCCCATTGCCGTACATTGACGTCATTCGTGCGACGAGTTCACGCCTTCCTATGTCCTCCGGTCTGCCGGCCGTCTATACTTGACCCGGTCGACTCTACGGGCTGCATCCCTTGTTCATTGAGTCGCAAGTAAGTAGTTGGCTGCCCTTCACGTAGTGTGACTGCATGCGTTCGAGCTGCTGCATCGATAGGTACCGTGCGTGGCCCAGTGCTTTGCAGTCTATCCAGCAACAAGTAATGTAGGCACTTCCGTAAGGCGCTTTGTCGAGCTCAGTTCCTCGAGCGGTATTTGTCGATTTCGCCCCGTATCCATTGCTTGAATGAGAAAGCGGTCTATCATTTGTAGCCGTAGTCCCGCAAGTCGTGAGCCCAGGACACTGCCGTTGTCGTAGCCAGTAGCTCCTTGTTCTCGAGTAAAGATCTTTTCGATACCGTGTCTTCGACAAGCGTCGTTTTGAGGTTGACGTGTGGCATTTCCGCTGTTTCCTACCACATGAACTGGTGAGAAGCTGTTTGTGCGCTGCAAGCTGCGATTCGTAAGTAATGGCCATGTACACTGCGCGAGTGTTGTAGTGGAAGGCACTGCGAAGACAGACTCGATGTCTGCCTGGTGGACAGTGTTTCGGGAGTGAAAAGGTACTGGTCTATCATTGAGTTGCCTGATGCTTAGTGGCATCTCAACGATGCGATCGAGGCCACCGTTAGTGCTCGTGACGAAGGAGTCAAGTGCAACAACTGTCACACGAGGTGGCGATCATGATCTCCATACCTTTGTTGACGAGACGAATGGAGCGCTCGACTGCATCAGGTTCACTGCACATACACAACCGGGCAAACCAGAGAGGCGATAGCTAAGGCTGCGAAAGCCGCAGTGTAGAAGTTCACCGTTACTGAGGTTTGCATTCTCTTATGTCAAGTCGCGGTCACTGCGGTCTTGCTGCTTTCTTGACGTTACTTTGCATAACCACATCGTCTGAGGGATAGCATGCACGTTCTTGCAGCTACACCGAGTACGATTGTGTCATGCAAGCGTGCTCTTTCGCTAGGCACCATGAGGAAGGCAGTTGGCCAACGACTCTGAACGCATGCCGTTTGCAACGGCACATCAACAATTGCGCATACACCATCACGAGCAGTAAATATACAGACGCGAGACATACAGGTGTAGACGATGCGCTTCCGTCGAGGTAAAGGCAATGCACTCGCCATCTGTGCCCCATACACACATGCCTACCGTTATCATCTGCGGTTCAAAAACACACGTATCTGCGGTTCAAAAACACACGGATACATCCATCGACCGTTGCCACAACAATTTCATTCAGAGGACTGGCTGCACGTACGATGAGATAGAAGTTTAGTGTGCTTATTGACATACCGTCAGTGCTGCTGTATTCACTAAGCCGTGCATCAAGTTGAGCGTACAGGGCATGATCAGGAGTTTGACAATGAAGCAGACAACATAACTAGCGACAACAACGTCCATCGCGCAGTTGTTTTAGGTTAGTGGTGCAAGTGTGCGAAACTGACGGGTACAGATCTGCCATTCGCACAGACGGACACATGTCAAGTCCATTGTGTTCACATGTTCCGCCTCAACGCATTAGTCGGACACGACGAGCGTTTATTTGCCCATCACGATGTTGAAGTCGACATAGCTGTTGACCAGACGAGGGACATCCCGATGCAGTGTCAGTTCCACATGCGATACAAACACTAGCAAAGACATTGCAAGAAGTCGTTACGGCAGGTGACATATTCCATCGGAGTGTTGTAAGCTGCAGCGATATTCGTGCGGATAGTGCAAATAGCGGCTACTGTTGACGCTAATGGAGAGCGAAGCGGTGCATGGAACGATGTTCAGGTTTGATACGAAGTCGTTGCTTTGATTGCATGTGTTCATGTATCTGAACATTTGCTCAGACACTTTTGGATACTTTCTGTCCGCACACGAGAGAAGTCGTGTGCTAGCGGCACGCACTGCAAAGTATAGTATCTACTGACAATGACGCAGCAACATGCGCGTTTGCGAGTATGCAGGTGCACTGGAAAAACAGTGAGTGTAGGGCGACTGAAGTACGTGGTTATGCTACAAGAAGACGCGAAAACTGTGGCTGGTGTAGACAACGTTCCCTCTATTATGCCGAGTCCTTGATACTGTACGAGCCATGCCGTGCAACAAGTGTATCGGCACTACAAACTACATGGTCGTCGACCCCATGCTGCGTCAGTCACGTCCACGCCCTCACACATACTCAGTCATGCTACACAAGCTCCAGATGGTACCGTGAAATCGCGAGCAGACCGATAACCGACAACGAGCATTCCAACTATGCACGACACAGCTTCAGTATCAAATCAGCATCGGCAGGATCTCAGGACTCGATGTACTGATTCGGAACGCGAAGGAGACGCAATCACCATGATGTCGGACCAGCATCCTTCGTAAGACATCTCGAGCAAGCCGTAGTCGAAGTGAAGATCGGCTGCAGCTCGAAATGCACTCATGACCTTGTACCGTTGTGCAAAAGCCCAGCTCAAGCAGCATCAATCTCGTATGTACAACCGGTACGCCATGACAAACGTTGACACGCAACAAGCACGCGATTGTGCGCCACAATCTCAGCGCCAAGACCCACTCGCTGCACCGAAATGCCAGGCAGCACCAGTACAGTAAACGGTGCAGCCTTTACTGCCTAGCTTCGTGCGCGAGTACCACAGACTTGCAGCGCACGCATCCGCTACTTCTGCTTCAGTCTCCATTGCTGCAACGAGGTTTCAAAGCGATCGACAAAGTATGTATCGCATCGGATAACATCAAGCGGATCAATGCGGATCAGGTGCAGCTCCCGCGAGTCTTCAAAGTCCACAGCAGATCCATCGTGAACCATCCGAGCATCGACAATGCGTGCATCATGCGGCAGAATGTTGTCATCCAAGAACATGGCGTGCACATTGTCAGCAACGTCCATGGGATGCAGTGTCAACAATTTGCCTGCCGCCGCTTTCTCCTGATGAGCAGACCAATGTGGATAAAAGTCCCGCAACGCCAACGTTGCTTGCGACGTTCGCCACTGGCGAGCGAGAAAGTCATGAATGTCCAGAAGTCCTCGTACGACGTGCAGCGAGTGCATCTGCGACTTATAGAACGCTAATGGATCCGAGTCATCCACAACGCCCGGTTGCTCGAACGTACCCATAACCAACATCGTCGAAGCATTTGTTCGTAAAAATGTGCCAAAACGTGGCATTGCTTTGTTGACCATTGGATCCACATACATGCGACGGTCAATACCGCCATCTGATCCATCCATAGGCTTCGTCAGCGAGAAATACGGATGTTTGCCTTCGCAAAAGCTGTTGAACTCGCGTGCCACTCGACGCAAATCGTCGCCAAATGTCCGGAAAATGAGGTTGAACGACACCTTTTGTGCCTGCAGGTACATCATTAATTTGAAAAAAGCTGGTACGATGAAATAGTGCGGCGACTCGTGCAGGCCAACCGCTTTTCGCTGGGCTTCAGTTGCTGCAGTGCGAGGCAGCAGCAACTGCTCCAGCAAAGTCTCATATTCCGTCACCAATAGCTCACCTGGATTCCCTGGAGCTGTGAACGTTTGGCGCAACATTTTCCGCGTCTGTTTGTTGTGGTTGCTCACCTTCGCGTCACCTGATGCAGGAAACCGGGTTCTCAAAAAGGTTCCATACGACACGCCGTTTGTGCCCATTTGTTGGAACTGTTCGTCGGCAACTATCTGGTTTCCGTCGAATATCCAGCTTTTTGACCCATTTTCGACTCGACCCAATGCGCGTTCCGTCAACAGGTCGTTGATCACGTGATGCAGCGTCTTGCCCTGCGTCGGGTCGTGCATGATGAGCGTCTGCAACACACAGACACGGAGGTGAACATCGCTGCACGCCCACACACAAACAAACAAACAAACAAACGACAATCACCAAACAACAACCAAAATCCACAAACCCATCCGTGCCTTGTTCACATCCACATACAGCAGCACATGGGGGGTCGTCATGGTGGGTCACGCAGGCGATAAAAGCCAGGATAATATCCATACCCCCCACCCCGTTCCTATGTATCTCAATACCCCCTCGAGAGACGAACCACACCACACAAACGTACCCCTCCTCGTTCTCCTCCACATCATTCACGTCGCTACGAAAAAACCTCGCAGGGTTTTTCCTCTCCTCTAGCTGCTGCAGTTCCGCATGGCGTCGCCGACCATCACTCCGTTCGCCGCATTGCGCGCGCTCCGCGCGCACGTCATCGCGGGGAAAGCCATAGCGATCGACGACAAAGAGCTCGTGTTCCTCGACGCCAGCGGCGCCGAAGTGCAGCGCCTCGACAAGCACCTGGCGACCGCGTACCACTCGAAGAAGCTCGACAAGAGCTACGACCTCTTGGCCGTGTACACTTGTTTCCAGTATGCCGCGCTGAGTTTCAGCGACTATGTGCTCAAGTGCCGCGACGCGCGCGCGGCAATGGTCTCGACCGTCGACAAGAAAGAGCTCGTGGCGTACCTCAAGGGCGACATTGAGACCAGTGCGCAGATTGTGGACGCGACGCCGTCGGAGACGCCGTCTGCTGCACGCGATCGTGGCGACGACGCGATGGGACGGGCTGTGAAGCGCGCAAAAACAGGTGCACTGGACGCACAAGGGCCGACTGGACGGGCTGCAGCAGTAGCGCTGTCGGAGACGCTGTCGGAGACGCGGTCGGGGACGCGGACAGAGACGCGGACAGAGACAGCGACGCTGCTGCAGCTCAAGCGGCTGCTGGAGAAGGAGTACGTGCTGCGCACGCGCGTGACCATGTTGGACGCGCACAAGACGACGTTTGACAATGTCGTGAAGCTCTTGGAGCTCGTGAACGCCGAGGCGAAGGACAAGATGGAGAAAGCGGCGACGAAAGCCGCGGCAGCGGCGGGGGCGGGAACTTCGTCGACGGCCACGAGCACGCGGCGCGAGCAGCTGCCGATGCACCGACTGGTGAAAGAGAAGCTGCTGGGCACGCCGATCATTGTCGTGCCGGCTGGGTTTTCCGACCTGTTTACGATGCTGAACGCCCAGGAGTTTCTTGAAGACGGCGTGTACGTGTCGAACATGCAGAAGAAAGCCAGTGGCTTGCGGAAACAGCAGGAGCTGATGATCACGCACGAAGAAGACGGACACGTGTACACGTTTAAGGTCGTGGACACGGTCAGTCGCTTTCGGGATAAAGACTGGTGCGTGAGCGGTGGCACGTCCGTGTGGATGAGAAAAAGGGTGAGGGTGAGAGGGGTTGATGTGGGGTGATGTGGGTGTGTCTGGAGTGCAGGCGGTCGGTGGTGGGCGTGATTGTGTCGGGACAGTCGTGGCAGTTCAAGGGATGGAAGTGGAAGTTTCCGCTCGAAGTGTTTAAGAAAGGTTGGTGGCTCGGATGCTTCGTGATCGTGTGTGTTGTGTTGGGCTGGGGATGTGCAATGTGAGGGCTTTGTACTGATGGGTTATGTTGCTTGTTGGGACGTGTCGAATGAAAGTGTGTGGCGTGCACATTTACAATCAGGGGTCTCAGCTGAATCCGGACATCAAGCAGTGGGATGTCAAAGTGTTGATGGTCAGTTGCGCTATGCGTTTCACATGTTTCGCTCGTATTGCAGCTTATCGTTGTGGCGTGCGGTGGGGTGTGTTGCTGTGTCTTGGCAGATTCACCCGGACAAGCGACATCTGGACAAGGTTGCAGCTAAAGAGTTTTGGCGTTTTTTGTTTGCCTTTATGAAAGTCAAGCTGCAGTAAGAACGTGCTAACGCACTTGTCAATCCACGCATCCAGCTTGTAAACCTTGCGCAGCGATCGTCGCCAGATGCAACATTGATGTGTAGTCGTAGCTGCAGGGACAGGTGCAAGAAAAAGGAGGACACACAGGCGTGTACAGATGAAAAGCTGCCAAACGGTCGAAGTGGCTGTGTGTTCGACGTGTTGCATGCACTGATGCTGTCACTGTTTCTGGTGATTGCACGAACGGTACAAGTGTTTGCGATTGAGCAGTTATGCAGGGGACATGGTCAAACATGGACGGACCCGTGATAGCTGAATCAAACCCGCTTCATGCCAGTCAAGCCATGGGTGAGAGAGATGGTCAATAATGACCGGGGAGGCGCTGCAGGTGCTGCAGACGCTTTGCAATCGCAGCGACGATAGCAGTGAGCACGATCGCAGCGAACGCACCATCTCAGCCGCTATCGTCGGATCAGCTCTATCCCGAGAGAGGCGATGTGCTGCGGCATTTTTCTGGTGACGTGCTGCGTCATATATCTGGAACGGTCGTCTATGTTCACGGCACACAAGCGTCAGTTCAGTCGCTGGAGCTTACGCAGCGCAGTCAAGCTCTTTCGTGTCGCGTGCAAATCGGTTTGCAGCTTTATCAAGCGTTGCGCATCCTGCAATTGCACGGCCTCAGGCACTTTGGCAGCGTAATGCGGCCCCTGCTGGCGCTGCACGAGGGCTTCAGCAGCAGCAGCACTCTTCTCAGCACGCTTCTCAAGGCGTGCGATTTCACGGTCTACGCGCTGCGTCGTCTCGGCGTCGTCGGGAATAGTCACCATTACTGGACAAGCACATTCGGATCAGTCGGACAACCCACATGAACAGCACTACAATTACGGCACGAAAACGGGGGCTGACGAACCTCGGCAAGAGTCCGACACGGAGTGTGTGAGCACATGCGAAGACGATATTGCGAAAGAAGCAGCGTCGCGTTCCACAGCAACATTGACACGCACGCGACATTGTGTCTCGATATCTCGCTGTGCGTCCTTGAGCTCAGAGTGCAAGGCCGCGTTGGCACACACGACGCCAACAGTAAGAAGATCTCTACGTGACAACGAGCAGATCAGCACAACAGACCGTGCGACGCATCGATGGCGAGCTTGGTAGACGTACCTGTCGTTTGCAGATGGCGCGTTGGGCGCCAACACTTTGACGGCGTGGCGAAGGGAACGAATGCCATGGATCACATCGATGACAAGCTGAAAGCACATACATGACAGATCAGACGATCTCGCTGCGGTGAGAATCGAGTATGGACAATGAACGTACTGCCATGCGCTCTTCGGCATCTGCGTCAACCCATGTTCGCATGTGGCTCTCTTCTGGGTACGCCGAGCTCAAAATTGAAGCCTCAACATTATGCTTGCACTTCGACGTGTCGAGAGGGTCGGCATCTCGGATACGTTGCCATAGCTCTTCTGTCAAGAAGGGTGTAAACGGATGTAGCAGACGCATCGAGTAGTCGATGCAGCGGTGCAGCGTTGCTTGAGCACTGCGTTGTCGAGCACGATGTTGGTGGTCAGAAGCGATGTCGTTGTCAAGGCGGTTGCCGTACAGCACGGGCTTGCTGAACTCAATGTAGACGTCGCACAACTCCTGCACGAAAAACCGCTGGATAGCTGCGACGCTCGTCGCCAACTGGTTTCCCGCAATGCCTCCATTGACCTCTGACACGACAGCGGCCTACACGGTGACGCATTCACATGGTCAGAAGTCAACGCAGCGCGAACGTCAAGTCGACATACCCCGTGCTTACCAGTCGACTCAGAATCCACCGATCAGCCAAGGTCATATCGTCACGCAGCTGAGAGAGGTCCGTTGCTGCAGACGCATTGGCGTCAGCACTGTCTGCTCGTTGTAGCAACGGTAGAGCATAGCGCACGGCGTTCCACACTTTGTTGCAAAAGTGACGATACGACACGACACGCTGCACGTCCATATTGATCTGCCGACCCTGCTGAAGGTATGAAGCCAGTGTGAAACGCAGCGCGTCGGCACCGCAACGGGGAATGCCCTGTGGGAACTCTTTCACCAGCTCCTTCTCCGCTTTCTCCAGCTCGCGCGGTCCGACATTTCCACTCTGGTCAATTGCAGAGCAGCTATGCTCAGCACACCGTTCGCAGTCGACACGTTTTTACATCCGAGTTTGTTTACCTGCAAGTCCAGGCGGAGCTGATCGAGGCTGATGCCTTTGATTACATGCAGCGGGTCAATGACATTGCCCACACTCTTCGACATCTTCCGGCCAGCCTTGTCTCGCACCATCGGGTGCAGCAGCACTTTTCCGAACGGTACACGTCCTGAAAGCTATAGACCACGTCAGCACATACAGTAAACAACATGCAGAGCTCCACACTGCTCACCTCTTCACATAGCATCGCCATGCGCGCTACCCAGAAGAAAAGAATGTCAGATCCAGTCTCCATGACGTCCAGCGAGTAGCTAGAGCTCAGATCATTTGCAATGGCGTCGCTGTTACCGGCGTTTGGCCACCCCTGTCCATCGTGCGCAGCCAAAGCATTAGCCGACAAACTCTAACGCAAGTGCGGTATGGCTGCAACGTACGAATACGGAGAGAGGAAGTAGACCCGAACTGAACCAAGTATCGAGCACATCCACGTCTTGCTCCAGGTCGTCGTCCTGCAGCTTGCACTTGAGTTCAGCCTCAGCCTTCTTACGAGCCTCGTCGATAGACGCTGCGACAAACCAGTTGTCGCGCACGTCAGAAGCACCGGCGACACCTGATTTCAAGCGATAAGCCGGGATGCGGTGACCCCACCAGAGCTGGCGGCTCACGCACCAATCTCGAATGTTGTCGAGAAAGTAAAACCACGTGTGCGTGTGTGACTTCGGCTCAATGGTCATCACGCCATTGCGGACGTTGTCAGCTGCTCGTTGAGCCATAGCACCACACTTGACGTACCATTGCGGCATGAGCAGCGGCTCAATGACATCCCCCGAGCGTGAGCAAATAGAGAGCGTGGTCGGGTGATCAAGCTACACCGTCATACAGCAACAGTACTCAGACGTCGATCGCGTGCAAATGCCAAACAAAAGTCGCACCTTGTCTACGTATAAACCCATTCGCTGCAACTCTTCGACAACACGCTGGCGTGCGTCAAACCGGTCCATCCCAACAAAGCGCTGATCAATGCCACCGCACATCTTCCCGTGTTTGTCCATCACCTCGACTTCAGGCAGACCGTGACGACGCCCACACTCAAAGTCCCTCAGGTCGTGTGCCGGTGTAACTTTCACGGCACCTGCACAGTATCAATGACAACGCACCAACACGACGTATCATCAGTCAGTCCCAGCAACAGCTCCCCAACGATCCACACGCAAAAGAATCGATCGACTCCGTACCGGTACCAAGCTCCATATCCACCAGCACATTGTCCGTAATAATCGGAATCCGTTCGCCTGAGAACGGATGGACCACGTGTTTGCCATGCAACGCCTGGTACCTCGCATCATCTGGATGCACGGCCACTGCCACATCACCAAAAATCGTCTCGGGGCGAGTCGTGTCTACCTCCACGTACTCGTCCGAGTCGGCAATCGGATATCGAATGCGATGCATCACGCCAAACTCGACCCCTGTCGTTCGTCCCGGCAGCAGCTTGCTCGTTGCTTTGTCCACGAGCTCGACGTCCACTTCGATATCGGAAATCGCTGTCTGCAACGTCGGACACCAATTGACCAGTCGCCGTCGGCGGTAAATCAGTCCCTTGTCGTACAACGTCACAAAAGCGTGCACGACACTTGTAGAGCACTGCGCGTCAAGCGTAAAGTAGAGCTCGCTCTTGTCCACCAGTGTACCCAACTCGTCTATTTGGTTAAGAATGCGACCGCCGTACTGCTCTTTCCACTGCCACACGTGCGCGACAAACGCGTCGCGGCCCAGTGCAGTGCGTGCAAGTCCTTGTTCCGCGAGCAGCTTCCGCTCGACAACGCTTTGCGTGGCAATGCCGGCGTGGTCGAGTCCAGGCAGCCAGTGAACGTGGAAGCCCCGCATCCAGTGCCATCGCGCCAGCACGTCTTGGATCGTCACCGTCAGTGCGTGGCCCAGATGCAGTGCGCCCGTGACGTTTGGCGGCGGCAGCAGCATCCGGAACGTCGGGTTGACCTGATCGGTATCCATGTTCTTCAACTGTCGGTTTGTGGCCGCTATTGTCGACTGCCAGTAGGTCTGCCATCCTTGCTCTACAACTGTAGGATCGTACGTCGGCGCGAGTGGCGACTGCTTGACCCGCTCGTGGAGCGCGTTTGGCAGTGGAAGCGAGCTTGGTTGATGCACAGACGCATAGAGCGATGCGTGAGCTGCATGTGACGCGCTGAAGCGGTGCTTACGATGCCCTGTGGACTGCAGGAGACGCCGCGCAAGCTGCCGCTGGAAGCCCTTCCGGCGGCAGAGCATGAGCGCGATGGTCGCGAACGGTCCACGCTGTCGTCTTTTCAACCAATCGCCAGTCAGCAAGATACACTGCCTGTTCGTCTGCTCGAGATGGGTACATGTGTGTGTGAGTGTGGTCCACACCGATCGGGGGCAATTATTTGATCGAGTGCAATTATTCTACGAACGCCGGGGGCCACTGTGATATTGCAATGTCCGTGTTAATTGAGACGACGCTGGGCGCGCTGGTGCTGGATTTGTTTGTGGCAGACTGTCCCATTGCGTGCACGAACTTCCTCAAACTGTGCAAGACCAAGTACTACCATGGCTGTCTCTTCTTCAACGTGCAGGAGAAGTTCATGGTGCAGACGGGCGACCCGACGGCCACGGGCCGCGGCGGGGTGTCGATCTATGGCCAATTGTATGGCCCCCACGCGCGCTTCTTTGAGGACGAGTTGCCACAACGAAGTGGCCGGTCGCACGACGACCGACGGGGATTGGTCGGCATGGCGTCGGGCTCGGCGAATCAGAACGCGTCCCAGTTTTACCTCACCACGCGGGCCCACGATATGGCATATTTAGATGCGACGCACACTATTTTTGGCGAAGTGGCCGAAGGACTGGACGTGCTGGACCGGATCGATGCGTTATTTGTGGACAAGGACTATCGACCGTACCAGGACGTGCGGATCAAGCACACGTATGTGCTCGAGGACCCGTTTCGTGACTTGGAAGGACTGGACAAACTCGTGCCGCCCTCTTCGCCCTGTCATGTGAAGCCGCAAGAGGAACAGGTGGAGACTCGACTGGCAGCAGACGAGGTATTGGACGAGCAGGACGGGCGAACCGAAGAAGAGCTGGAAAAGGCCGTGCGGGCGAAAGAGGCCCAGTCGCGGGCGGTGGTGCTCGAGATGATTGGCGACCTGCCCGATGCCGACGTGAAGCCGCCGGAAGAAGTGCTGTTCGTGTGCAAGTTGAACCCCGTGACCGAGAGCGAGGACCTCGACATGGCCTTTTGTCGCTTTGGGCAGTGCAAAGCCGACGTCATTCGCGACCACAAGACGGGCGAGTCGCTGTGCTTTGCGTTTGTCGAGTTCACCGACCGACGCCACTGCGAAGAGGCGTACTTCAAGATGAACAACGTCTTGCTCGACGATCGTCGCATTAAGGTGGACTTCAGCCAGTCTGTGTCCAAGCTATGGAACAAAGTCAAGCGACGACCGTGGGAGAAGCCGACCAAGCGCGATGGTGACGCGATGACTACCGACAGGAACCAACGCGGACGTACGAACAAGAGTGGCGCTCGTGCTGCTGGCGGGGGAAGAGGACGTCGGGAGCTTGGAGGGCACTTGACGATCAAGTCGCGTGGCACGGACGACTTCAAGCTCGTGGAGGAAGAGGAAGGCGTGTCGTCGCCGTCGTTGCACGGATTGAAAGTAGTGTCTGCTCGAGAGAATCGCCGACCCAGTCGTCCGTCGGACAGGCGCAGCGAAAGGGACTCGTCTCGGGTAAAGCGAGGAACGAGTCGCAGTCGTCGACGTCGAAGCGCGAGCCACGAGCGACACGAGCGACGACACCGAAGCCGTGATCGGAAACAAAGTCGAAGTCGACGCCGTAGCAGCAGTCGTGCGCGGGATCGAAGTCGGAGTCGTAGCAGCAGTCGTGCGCGGGACCGAAGTCGTGATCGTGACCACCGCTCTCGACGATAACGCGGACATCTATTCGATGCTTCTGTCGTAGAGTGGGAACGAGGTCACCGGGTGGTCATATTCTTGGTCAGTGATGACTTGCTAGTGATGGCATTACGCCTATGCATCTTCCAGTGCATCCGGAAGCTGTTCGATGAGGCTGCAAAAGCACTTGACCGATACGAGCTGCCTCCTATCTTCTCTATTCAGTAAACGTCGCTGAAGGGCTGAAGAAGGCCACCATCGGAGCTCACGGTCACGCCACGAGGAAGGACGAGTCCGACTAGCAACAGATTGAGGCCCTAAACGAATTTAACTATTACTGCGAACCTGGTCAACAATTTTTTCGCTACGTGGCAGCAGAATCCAACGCCCTGTCGTGTCACGTGCCGTGCAGTCGCTACTTCCTTTGCCGAAAGTCGCTGCATAGCGTACGATCAGAGCTCGAGCTACGTGCAATTGACTCGTAGCTGACTCTGCGCAGCCACTGGTGCGCTAGAGCTTTAACTCGAAGCCAACACGTGCCCAACCTGGAGTCCCTTTCCAGCTTCGCACACACACACTTCTCTCTCTCTTCAGTCTCTCGTCAGTCTTTCTCTCTTGCTGTCTACTCACGTCTGCGCTTGACCCGTTATCGACAGCACGTGCTCTGCAATATCCCTGTACAGTTTTCGGCACTTGACCCGCGAGGGGAACTCGTGGCCTCCGTCGTGCTCGAATCGGACGCGTCCACTGCTCGCGAATCGCTGCATCAGCTTCTGCGACTTAAAAGCGGTCACAACAGTGTCCGTCGTGCCCACCACATGAACTGAAGGGACGTCTAGCGTGCCCTCTACCGACGCCCGACCTCCATCCAGCAGCATCTCGAGCGTCTCGGGTGTCTCGGGATCGAAGCCCGCGACGAGGACACAGACTTTGTATGGCACGAGCGAATCGAAAGACGACGACGACGACGACGGCGGCGATCGCGAGAGGTAGTGCGCTGTCAGGAGTGTGGCCATTGCTGCGCCTTGGGAGAAGCCGAGCACGACATCGAAAGGGCCGAGCGCGTCAATCTGACTCGTCAGACAGTCGAGCGAGCGCTGGAAGCCGTCATAACGACGCAGTCGTGTGGCGTTACTGCTACCGCAGCAGCTGTGGCTATAGCTATGGCTGTCCGAGGAGTGCGTCTGGGCGTCCCACCACTGATAGTAGGGACCGCTGTCGCCGAAGAAGAGACGAACGACGTCAGGGACGGGACCGGAAGCGGTCCACGGCGCGTTGACGTACACAAAGTCCGCTGACGAGCCGAACGCGTGACGCAGCGCAGACGTTTGGAACTCGAGCACGCGGCTGTTGGTGCGCCATCCGTGAAGACAGAGGACGCGAAGGGGTCGACGGGTCATGGAATGGACGGACTGCGAAGACGAGAGGAAGTGGCTGCATCGATAGATGTTGGTGCAGGTGCAACGAATGGCTGGACGTCGTAGCTCGTGGGCGATACTGTACCTATCTCTCTATTTAACTGATGATGAGACGGGTCGAGTGGCTCGGGTGCCCGCTCTTCCGACCTGTGATTGGTCGACGCACTTCAAGACCATCAGCCAATGGCAGACTGGGCGCTTGTTCACGAGTAGGATCGACTCGTTGCCTTACTTGTTCTTTTGCTGCCTTTGGCACAAGTCACTCGGTGGACACTGATACTGCCGTGGTCAGTCAATTGGTTGACTGTTCATGAGGCTTTGGGCGATGTCGGACACATCACAATCATTTTTAAGTCGTAGTAGCGCTTCTTGGAACAGATACCGTCATCTGGTTGAGCTGTTCAGTCGGCAAACAATGAGCGCAGATAGTGCACGTGTCCTTGGATGACCTCACTTGCATCCTTATCCATATACCTGTTTGTTGCCTCTAACACTTGGCAACACTAACGAACACGCAGTTGTTTGTCGACTTTGCAGCTCAGCGCTACTGGACAATCTATACGTTTCTTCTTCTTCTTTACATGCGGTATCGTACCGCTCTATCACGTTACATGTCTACCTAACTCACGTTTAATTGCACATTCAGATCCAAGTGACCTCCTTCAGCTGCATGGGGTATCCACAGCATCAACGAGCCGCCGCCAGTGCCTGGCAGACCGAGAAACCCTGGACGCCATCGGTCCAAATAGAGCGTCTTGCCACCGAGTGTCGATACGGTGGCCTGCCACGTCGCTCGTTTGCCGGCCGCGACTTTGACTTCGTCGATTTTGTCGCCGCCAGACCTGATGTTGACCGTCACGTTTTCAATGTCGTGGCTCGTGAACGTGAGGACAACGTGGCCGTCGCCTCTCCTGGTCCACGATAAAGTCGTGTTCTTGAAAGCTTTTTGGATCACATTGAGCCCGAGTGTGTCGGGATGCGTACCGTCGTCGACTTCGCCAATGAACTGCGTCGGCCCGCAGATGGACTGGAAGTACTCGGAGATCATACTGGAGATGCCGCTCATGTCAAAGCCGCTCGAGACCCAAAAGTTGAGGCCCTGGTTCAGCCACTGGTACGTGTACGCGCTGGCCTTGTAGGACGAGCCGTTGTTGCTCACGCCAGTGGTAATGAGGTCGTTAAAGATCACGCCAAACGTCTTGCGGAGCGTGTCCCGCGTCGCATATGCCGTCCGCTCGTCCGACTGCTGCACCAATAGTTCCATGCAGTTGCTCGTGACGCGCGCAATGTCCGTCTGCGCGAGCTCCGTGTTGTGCACCTGCACGCGCAGCTCATCGTTGGAGATGTTCGGGTGCGCTTCCCGCAGCGCCTCAATCGTCAGCCACGCGCGTTCCACGAGGCCCTGCAGGTCGTGGCCACAGGTCGAGTTGGACGCGAGCGCGTGCTTTAGGTACTGGATCTCGCCGTCCGTCATCATCTCGGGCAAGACGGTAAAGTTGGCTCCTCGGAGGAAGGCATTGAACCGGTCGAAGCTCGTGACCAAGTAGTCTCCGTGGGCCAAGATCTGCGACAAGAGGTACTGCGTCGACGCGAGAATGCGGTCGGCGAGCCACCACTTGCTCGTCGCGGTGCCGCCCATGCAGAGTTTGATCGTAATTGGGAGCTCAACGACCACTGCATTCGACTGGAACAAGAGCGTCAAGAGTCGCTCGCGCGACGTCTGTGGGTCCGCAGCTTTGATGCTCCGCACGTAGCGCAAAATCGCGCGGACTTCGCCCAGGACCATACAGGCGCACATGGTGGCCGTGCGGATGGCGTGGCTCATGGCGCGGAACTTGCCGAACCAGTTGTCCATGATGCCATTGAGGCCGACGTTGACGAGCGAGCCGAGTTTGTAAAACACTTCGCGGCCGCAGTCGTCGTTCTGCCGGATGCACTCGAAGCCGCACGGGATGGGGAACTCGAGCGGACACTCGGCCCAACACGTGTACGTCAGGTTGTTGCGGTGAAAGCCCGAGGGACACACGTCGTGCACGACGTGGGCTTCGCGCCAACAGGCCGAGTCGCCCTGCACGTGACGAGGACCGACCCAATTGCGGTACGTACGTACGACTGAGCTCGAGGCACTGAGTGGCGTCGCTAATGCATACGACGCACCAGACGCGACGTCAGTGAGCAGCGCAGAGGCGTTGGCCGACGCACTGGGCGTGACTTTGACCACGACGTCGGCCGACGAGTCAATGGGCGACAACGGCATACGCGAAGGCGATGGGGCGCTGCGGCCAAAGAGCGCTCGCGCTTCGGACAATGTGTCCACGAGCGCAGCATACGACACGGGCGGCCGGACGTTTGCGACCGCGTCGGGCGATTGGGATGTGGTTTGACGTCGGGGGTCAACAAGCGGCTGAAGAGGGTCAGGTCGATGCAGACGAAGGTCAGTGGTGGACCCTAATGCGTCTGCTACTGCTGCTGCTGTTACGATGATGAACGTGGTGACTGCTACGCTTTGCCAAGTCATGTGGTGAGCGCTACTAAGAGGAGACGCGCGTGTGACGGTGCAAAAGGCAAAGTGCGTGTGCGAGAGCGCTTCGTGTCAAGTTAGTCGTTCAGGACGTCCGATGTGCGCATGATGACTGTGCGTCAACACGTCTGTCTGTCTGTCTGTCTGTCTGTCTGTCTGTCTGTCTGTCTGTCTTTTTTCGAGCGCTATTACTACGACGACGACTACGACTACTACTACTGCTGCGTTGTGGTCGACTCGACCAGCGCGAACGAGTCGCTCGTGCTGATTGGGCTCTGGTAACATCGACGCAGCTTTGCACGTCGCGTGGGTATCTTTTGCGGCTCCGAATGTTTGTGGTAAACTCGAACTGTCGCGGATCACCAGGTCGGTCTTTCGGACGTCGGTCAGCAACAACAGCAACAACAACAACAGCGTCAATGCATCTGTCTATTTATGTGACTGGTCAGTCGAGTGGCGGTGCATAGCGAGTCGCTGAATTCAGAGACCTCGAGGTCTACGAGTCGGCGCTCGCAGTTTCGGACCGGTCGGTGCAAATCTGAAAGACGCTAAACGTCGACACCGCCTCACGGGGCGTCGTGATTGTTCCAGCGGCGCCACCTCATTGTCGTGCGAGCGACTGATTGGCCGAGTCGAGAGTGGGGTGTCCTGCACGTGATAAGGGACAAACTGTGCGGTGGAGCGGGTAGAACCTCGACCTGAAGAGGCAGTAGCAGCAGCTGCAGACGAGGGGACCCGGCTTCTGGGCAGAGGCGGGACGGATCGCGTTGAAACGTCGTGGATATCTTTCGCGCGACGACCGGATGGCTCCACCTGCCGTGAAAGATGCAGCAGTCGGTCGACGGCTGTTGACAAGAGACATTGCGCTCGGTGGCGTATATGTTCTGGAACACAATGCGCGACTCGTTTCGATTTACGTGTGACTATTCTTTCGATGAGGTCTCATTGTCTCCTGCTACAGTGCAACATGTCGAGAGTCAGAGTGACGCGGTTCAGTGCAAGTTCTACAGTGTGTACAATGGAGTGGTTGAGCCAAGTGAGCCTGTAAGTTATGGCCCGAAAGATGCACTGATGGAGAGAGAGACCTCTTTGATGACCATCAACTGCACGTTGACGTCCTGTTGCTGCAGTGGCTTTTCAAATCGGTCGGCATGTCCACCTGACTTCGTCGTGCGTACAATCAGCACGACAGAGAGCGAGGCGATCGCGTGACGCTTTGGTACATAGCACACAGACTTTGCGTTGGTCAAAGCCACGTGTCTACATGGAAGCAGATGACCAGCATCGTCTTCCTTCTGGCGTTGTCAGCTAGAGCTGCTAGGTGTCGAGCGCTGACGACTCAATTCCTGCAACTGAGACGTCGCGTCGAGTGGCAGCGACGAGCTGTAACAAGAAGCGTGAAGAGCCGTTGTCTTCAGCTGCCGGTCGCTGATGCGAATCATATCGTGTGGGCTTCGAGATGATGCGCTCATAATCTGGTGTTCAGTAGGTTGTGAGAAGACAGCGTGTCAAGCCTCGACCTTATCCAGTTCGACGCTGTATTAGCGCTGCATCCGAAGCCACAATATGATCATCGTAGGTTGGCGTACGCTCACGAAGAGTAACAGGTGGCTGTTTATCTACCCATGAGCCACGGTGCGGTACATAGCTTAGCATCTCCACTGCCAGGGGGCCGCGAATTTCGACGCCCAATCTGCGTGGCATTGGAGGTATCGAGTCAACGATCGTCGTTCTTGCTGACCGCGTGTTCTGTTCATGCGCAGGTGTCCTTCCTTCCTCTTACTACCCACATGTGCCGTACGCAGCAAAGCTGACGCATGCTCGAGTTCCTGCGACAACGAGTGATGTCATTATGACAATGACATGGTCACGATATCGTGTGCAGTGCCAGACTCGATGGATGCTGCAGAGAGATAGACAGACATGACATGCCATATTGTCTCGTCAGCTAACCACACTTTTAAGCAACGACACGTCCAGACTTGCAAGCAACAGGTCTGCAGAACTCGTTTTCTCGTGTCGACGTATGTACGAGATCAACTGTATAATAGGGGTGTTGGACCCCTCTCCGATACGAGTGTCCATTAGCCGATTGAAGCACACGTTACATATATATGTCGCACACGTCTCAAGAGAGAACAAAGACGTCTAATTGAGAACAAGTAAAGGAAGGAGTCGACCCTGCTCGTGCGCGAGGCCCTGCCTGCCATTGGCTGATGGTCTTGCAATGTGCGTCGACCAATCATAGGTCGGAAGAAAGGACATCCGAGCCACTCGACCCGTCTCACCATCAGATAGATAGACCCGTCCCATCATCAGACAGATGGTTGGATAGGCACAGCACCGCCCACGAGGTACGACGTCCAGCAACCCACCCACGTGCACCAACATCCATCGATGCAGCCACTTCCTATCGTCTTCGCAGCCCGTCTAGTCGATGACCCGTCAGCCCCTTCGCGTCCTCTGCCTCGACTGTAACGGGGTTGCACAATACGTGAGACTTACACAACACGTGTGAGTTACATAACACGTGTGAGTTACACAAGGGGACGGAGTCCCATTAAAGATAACAGTAGAACACCATATTGATTGTCGAAGGCTGACGCGTGTCAGCCACCGAGTTAGGAGATCCTTTTAGAGGTATTAATTAGAACATTAGTGTTTCGATTAAGTACGTGTGTAAAGGTGTCCTTTTAAATAAGTGAAATAAAGTACAGTTCCTCTTTTGATCACTTAAGACTCGTGCCTCACGAGGCGTCATTAGGAGATAACAATACCTGTGAAGATAGCTGCTCATAAGCACTCTGTTCTGTGATTCTCTTGAATCGTTTGGTCCCCTGTAACAGGGACCGTAAGCTCTAGAAGCTTGTTGACTCTCTAATTCGGGTTCTCTAAACCAAAGTTGCTCGTTCAGCGTTAAGTCTTCCTCTGACTTAAGGAGCTCTGTAGCTTCGCAACACCTGGTAGAACTTGTAGTCAACCTGCACCTTATTCGTTACGAGTGATCCTCTGTGAGGATGGAGCAATCCACACCCCTCACTGACGCCCAAAGGGTCGCGCTTGATAAGCTGACCGCGGCCGTGGGTCCAGAATATGTTGAGTTTCTAGCTGCGCAAGGTCCCGACGTGCTCAATGCGCGTGTCGAGACCTTCATGCAGTCTGAAACGGCCCTTTTAGGGATGTCTAAAACCAAGTAGCGCCGGCTATGCCAACACGCTTTGTGGAAATGCCAGACGAAGAAGCTAAGCCTCGTACCCTTACGGTGGATGTCAAACATTACTCCGGGAAGGAGGGGAAAATATCACCCTCTGGACCCGTGAGATCGAGATGGCCATGAGATCTAAATTAATATCACTTGAGCTTCAGCGAGTCTTACTGGCCATCTCCAAGCTCGATGGGAGAGCTAGGATGTGGGCGATGACGTGCAGCACGTCGGTTTACTTAGCGTTTCCCACATGGGATTATTTCAAGCTAGATCTTTTGCGAGTTTTCTCGTCGCCCAACCAGGCTTAACACGTGCGCTCACGCTTCTTATCTACACGTCAGGGTAAGAATGAGTTGACGGACTAAGTCCAAGAGTTGAGAATTCTTATGGCTGCTATGCAGTTCGACCCTCTCCCTGAGACAATCTATGTGACTGTCTTCATGGAAGGTCTTTGCACTGGCGTGACCAGGACCGAGGTCTTTTGGGTCCATCCTTCTACGTTTGAAGAGACTGTTAGCATCGCTTAAAATGACGTTCACAACTTGAAGTCGGCCATGATTAATTGGAACGGGTGCAACCCAAGCTTTGCGAGGGCAACATCTGCGAGGGCAACATCTGCGAGCACCTCTGCTTAATGTTAGTGTAAATCGATGGATCTCAGCAGCACTAAAGATGAAGGTGAAGCTAAGCTTCATGTTGCAGAGCAACGAAAAAAAGTGAGATGTTGTTATATGTGCGGAAGCACTAAACACTTGTGTCCCACTTGTCGTTTACGTAAGCAACGACCGACTTCTATGGGTCTAAACCTTAGCCCCAACCAGAAACCTGGTATGGCACGGGAAAACGTCGACACTCGGTAGGCGCGGGGTGCTCTACTAGGGTAAAACTGGGTTCTGTTACTTCTCTACGAGGTAGAGTGAAACAGGGCTTAGACCGACACAACTCTGTGCCAGCCAGCACAGAGCGTGGATATGATCCTGGCTTGTAAGTCTACGAGGCCAGAGTTAAAGGCTTTGAGAAGTATTGGTCGATTCTAATCGATTCTGGAGCATCGTGCAATTATTCTCGACGTCTTTCCCTTGAGGGGAGTCAGCAATATGCTGCAGCGCTCAAATCGCGTAAGGGTGATTCAATCACCATTCACTTATCGACTGGTATTTGCGTCACTGTACCTAAAGTTTCGTTGAACTTGGGCGTGAAGTTGTGGGACTTTGACAGCACAGAACTCTGTCTTGTCATTGACTTGGATTCGAGATACTATCTCATCCTAGACATGGCCTAGATCATACGCCATGAGTCATGCATTGATTGGATGTCTAAGACCTTAGGCGCCACGCGCACTATTCCTAGCGAAGCTTTGGAGAGTCATGAACCCACCTGCGCTTGGCAAAAAAGCACTATTGGCGCGAGCCATTGACGGAAGATGTCAATGTGCTGGACATTGGTATGTCCGAGTTAAATAACTCCAGTGTACATGACATGAATGGCGAGCGTAGCTCTTTCACTGTCAGTCATATGACACGTACACGGTTGAGTGATACTCGTTGTGATAACAAATCACTGCATGCTAATGGCATGGTTGGCCTAGGGCCGGGTCAACATTTATGTAATTCCTCTGATGTCAGTGGGGTGGCACGTGAAAATCCACCGAGTAAGGGCGGCCGTAATGAAATCTCACTGAATGTCGATAATGACATTGTTGGCAAAAACCCGAAGCAGTCAGGCTATGTTCACATAATGCACGTGAAGAGGTACGTATAAATTCACTGGATGAAGTGGTCGAGTTGCGTAA